CTATGCGCAGTACCACTAGGCAAAGGCCTGAAGATGCCTTTTTATGAGTTCGAGCACGATGTTGCGATGAACCGTTTTATATTGATGGGCTTTTAAATCATCGGCGTACATGAAGTGGCTACCATATTGAAAGCAATCAGGATCATCATTGACAAAAAGGCAGAATAAGATTGGGCCAAGTCGGCTACGCTGAATAACTCTACTCACCACATATCTGCAAATAGAGATAACATTGGTAAGTTTAACACGAGGTGCGTGACCATCTAAATAGGCGGATATTAACTTCATAAGCTAGTTACATATGCCGAAATAGACGAGTTTGAGAAGGAGGAGATCATGGTTAACAGAGTCAAATGCCATGGTGAAATCAAAATAAATACTACAAAGGCCAAAACTGTCTCTAGATAATAGCACATGATCAAACAACGAGAGCTGGAAAGTGTCACGAGATATTCCTTGAAGGAGCCCGGGATTAGCCGAATTAAGTAGGTTGTTTTCTGTTAGGCGAGGCACTAACTTGTTTTTTCTCAAGGTCTGCAAGGTCTTCGAGGCTGCAGGAAGTGTATTTCTTGGCCTAGGGTTGTTAAATGGCGTTGATCTACCTTGGTTAGATATAGGCAGTATATGTGATTACTTCTTAAACACAGGAAAAGTTTCGCTTTAGAGAAAAAAGATTAAAGGTCTAACATAAAGACGACGGAAAATAGCGTTCAGTTTAGCCTTTGTAATTGTGACCGGGACGCCATCTGGTGCTTGACTAAAAGGTTGACGAAAACCTCGGACGTCGGCGGTCACGTCCCAGAGGGTAAAAGTAATGGTTTCCAGGACGGTACCAGTCCGAGCCAGGATGGGTAGAAGTGGAGCAACCGCATTTTCACTTAATGTTCCAGATAAGAACGCATTGAAGTTATCAGCCATTCATTTAGCATTAAATGTGGGGTTTCCCAAGGCACCCCTATGTATGGGGTACTGTGTATTTCTCTGCGTTTTTACTGTATGCGAATATTGACTCGCAAAATTTAACGATGAGTTTTCAACAAAGTTAACCTCATCGGCTGAGCGGTTGTCTTCGGGCAGCCCCTTAACCTACTCAAAGTGTGGCTGGATCACAGGCGGAACCAAAATGTCGTTCGGTAGATTAAAAAACGACGCCAAAGTCTACGCAGCCTACCGCTGAAAGATATAAGGAGGTAGACTTCATTTTTGAGTTGCATTATTTTGTTACGGCGAACATAACGAGAAATGAGTGATAGAGAACTTTGAACTCTATATCAGTACAAAAACTATTCATTTAAACGCAGGCAAAAGTCGGACAAGTGGCGGGAATAAAGATGTTTAGTAATTTCCCCCTTTTTGCTAATCAGAAATCATGGAAAAATGTTTCGACCAACTTCAATTCTATTGTAGTAAGAGCCATGACATGGTTAGAATTCCCAAGTGCATCTAACGATGACACTGACAATGGTTTGCGACCTCTAGAGAAAATTAAATCAAGCATCTTGATCTTATAATAATAATATGTTTATTATGCCAGTTTACAGGCAATTGTAAAGAGTT